TCAAATTCAAATTCTCCCAAAGAAGATTTACATCCTGAGATGTGTACCAATATTTTTCTACTGACTATATCAACGCCTCTCAAGGAGATAGAATTGAAATTAAACTAACTGGTGTCATCTATTTTAGACCGAGACAATAAATTGTTAGTTTCACAGATTCAGGGGTGCCACTATTGTTATAGTAACTTCACTACGTAATATCGTGTGGATAATAAAACATTGTTCTGTTTTGGATGATTGTAAAATTTTATGAGATATCTGACATCGTGAAGAGAGCTATAACAATGGACAATAACATATTGAATCAAAACGACCAAAGACGCAACAGTAAGCGGATTCTGCCATTGACTACTGTGAAGAAGAGATTATATAGTAAGTACTATCAATTCGATGACAGGAAATAAATGCAAAAATGGCCCCAATTTCAATGAAAGCTATGCTGGGTAAGTAAGTTCACAGTTATACAAAGTGTTGGTACATTCAGATACAATTAGTAATATCACAATAGTAACAAAATTTTTAGGAAAACTAAATAAGCATGAGATCATACCGAATTTGAAGTTTCTCGGTTGTCCTTTATGTTAACGGAAAAAGTGAGACAAGGTTTCTCATATAATAATCTTATTTGAAAATCGGTAAAACTTTATAATGATGAAATACCCAAACTCTGCATGTTTTTCAAAAATCAATTGAATTAATACTGAAAAACTAATAATAAAAATTACATCATAAATTTCCTCCTCTGAAGTGCTATGTCAAGTTTTTTATTAATAGTATACTTATATCATGTCGATCTCTCATCTCAAGTTACAAAACTTTGTTGCAAGTGCATATCAACATAAACAATACGTATACAAGTCTGAATAACCAAACAAGGTCAGTCACGTTCCATGTGTGCAAAGAAGAGAAAATATATTCGAGAGATTAAGATAAGACTGCAACGAAAATGTATCAACCTAAGAACATCGGCAGAAATAACTCTTCAAAAGCCTTGAGTATGAGTAGGTACCGCCGTGCAAAAATTTTCGCCTTATCGTACATTCGCTCATTATATCGTTGAATGAAAAGAAAAATATAGTGATATACACATATCTCTCTTCTGGACTCGTTTGACATCCAACCCATAAGAACACTGTTTTGTTAGTTGTTGTAGCTTAAAAAAACTTGTGAGTTACATGTAACTGTCACGTCGCCAAACATTAAATGATTTGAAGAGAAATTGATGTTTGTCGTTTCTGTCAAGGTTTTCAGTGACAATCTGGAGCGGAATGAATAATTTATAGGCAACAAATACATGAATGAATAATAGGGACAATTTCATGCCTGTGACATGAAAGAAACAGCAATTAGTGGCTTCAAAATTTGTTGAATCCGTGTTAGGAATCACACGTTGAAAGGTAAAACCTCGTTAATCCTTAGCTCGCACAAGTTTCGATTTTTGAGGGCTGTCGTTCGTAGGGGTGAGACAGCTGATTAACGGGAAAACAGATTTTAAAACAGACAGATCTAACCTGAAATCCATCAACATGCATAGAAAATACATGAAGATTAAGATTTGAACTTCTTTGAAACATCAGCTAGAGAAGTCTTCGAGGTGAGATTTGAAGCAGGTGTAACCAGCCTCTGAAAAATACCCAATACAAGCCCAGCGTGCAGTTGATTGTAGTAAACGTATTGAACTAAGACGTGAGAGCCTTAGGACAAGTTTCAGCAAACTTGGAATAACCCCGTCTTCTTTCAAGCAGATAAATGCGAATCCAAACTAATTTGGGGCGAAAAACCTGCCCAAGACAGGAAAAGAAGAAACCTGATGTGACTGCTGCATCACACAAAATTGACGATAAATTAAACTGATGAAAAACAGAGCAATATATCTTTTTTTGTCAGAAACTTTTCATTAGATTATCACCAAAAACAGCTCCATGATTGATTAAGAAAACACTCATGAAGATTTCTTTCATCACTCTGTTCACTGAATTTTCACCTCATGCAGTAATGGAAAAAATTTTGGCGTGATTGTTGATGAACGACGGGAGAGGTGACTTTTTTGAATTTCATTTTTAAATATTTATTTATACCTTCTTCTTTTCGCGGATGGTAAAAGATCAAATCACTGACAAATGGAGATTATTTTTCACTCAGCTCTGACTTGTAGAAACAAAAATTTGAATTATTCATGAGCATGTACATATATTTGATATTAATTTTCGAACTTCTATTCGGTTACGAAAATATTAATAAGCAAATAAATAACAAATATGTATATTAGTTATCAATGAGTTGACTCCGTGGTTTCTGATTCATCTCTGGTATAAATCGTGCGACCATTAAAAATATCAAGTGTTAATTTGAATGATGGAGTGAATAGACACAATTATCGAAACGAAGCAACAATAATTTTCATTTATTTCTTGTCTAAGGTCATAGTGTTGGGTAATTTAATTGGTTAAAATAATTTACAACTCTGAACGACAAGTTAAACAGTGAATTGGCAGAACAGGCATCATGAAATAACTTCCAAAATTACCCTGTTAGACTTTTTTCAAGCACCGACTCAATCCTGCCACACTGCCAAAGCCTAAATCCTTTGAAGGCTCGCGAAATGGAATTATTAAGAATGTCGGTTGATAACAATGAAGAATATCAACCCGCTTTCCGTAGAGAAATGTAATAAACAAGATGCTTCTGCCACATCATTGCTTCCTTAATGTAAACTTTGACATGTCTCGCTGTTTTTTGCAACAAAATATATTCACAAAGAATATGAAGGTGAACGTTTTTGATCACGATTGAAGAGAATGAAATGCGCGCTGGTAGGCCATGGCCGGATGGCCATGTTTCGTCTGCTACTGCGGCAAACATTATCATCAGCGGTATGTGCGTTGACTTCGAAATATAACCTTGGTCCCCGCAGTCAACGCACATATCACTGATGGTGTCTGCCGCAGTAGCATACGAAACGTTCGGTAGGTACTACATTCGACCGAAACCTACCAGTTCGGAATTTGTTCTATCTAATCTTCATCAATCATTTGTTTATAAATTGAAGTACTAAATTTTGAGGTTAAAGTAATACTATAATGTGGCCATTCGGCGCTTCCTTTATCATATTAGGGACGCACTATATTTTCTACTTCTGAAAAAATAAACCATGGACAACACTGCCCAGTTGACGATAAAATTTTGAATCAACCATGCATTTGCCGTCAAATATATCATATTCACAGAACTATACATGGATTATTTCTATAGTATTTTTTACAAGAAACATTTAAATTGAACAACTAATCAGAAAGATGAGATGAGTGGACGATAGCTGCTTTTCTAAATGAGATGAAAAAATCACAAATAAAAGTTTATAGAGAAATGATTAACCATCAATGAATTGATGGATGTAGTAGCCGTTGTTACCACGTGGTAGAGATCATCATGAAAAATGAGAAATAAAACTTTCGATTTGTTTGAAGGTGGTTAACCTAAAAAATAACAAGTTTATTAAACAAAAAACTGAAATTACAAAATTACAAAGGAATAACATACAAGCAACAACCAAAAAAAAAAATAGAAATATTAATACAAGCTAAAAATTTAAAAATAAAAAAATTGAAAATATTAACAAAAAATTAAAATTAAAAATTAAAAGATTACAAACCATGTTACGTTATCATCCGAAGACCATCGTGGATACTAACAATCGAAACATCATGACGTAACTTGGTTGGGAATCTTTTAATTTTTAATTTTCATTTTTTGTTAATATTTTAATTTTTTTAATTTTCAGCTTATATTAATATTTCAATTTTTTATTTTTTTGGTTTTTGCTTGTATGTTATTTCTTTGTAATTTCAGTTTTTTGTTTAATAAAATTGTTATTTTTCGAGTATTCTTTCTAATTTTTTACAGATTTTTTCAGGGATTTCAAATCAATTTATATTATATTAGACAATGGAAGTCCGAACTGATGAAAAAAGTTTCTATTTTTCTAGCGCTTGTATACAAGTGGAAAAAACTTGTTTGCAAGTGGTAAAAAGTCGTATTCCTTATTTTTCAAAATAACCATCAATATACATGTATGGCGTTTAATAAATTTGTGGTTTATCGAATTTTAGTTTTTGAAGTAGAACACTTCAAATATTTTGATAATTGATTTCCTCTAAAACATTTAATTTCAGAAATGAAATTGTTTCAGTTAATTTTATTGCTTATTTTCTCAACATTGAATAAGAGATCGTTATTGTTCTGATTTAAAGACTGTTTCATACGTTATTCAAGAATTAGATATATTTTCGATAGAAAAGAAGAAGTTGGCCATTGTCTAAAACCGCGTGGCACGAACTATTCTGATGTCGCCCCACTTACAGGGTGTTCCATAAAAAAAATTAAAAAGGTGATTCTTAATCTTCATAATCCCTAAATGTAAAAAGCGCTTCTTGATGAAAATATGAATGAATGAAAATACACTATTATCAAAGATATTTGATTGAAAAATTTTCTCATTTCATCTGATCGAGTAGAGGAGATATTAGAATATATAAGGGATTCATTTTGTAACATAAGTATCACCATTACTTCTGAACTACTCGGTATAAACCCAAAAAAACAGAATATTTCTGAAATCAACTTTTTGAAGAAAATCAATCGAGTGGATACATACTTGTTAAGAAAACAAAAGTTTGATGAACTACACATTTATTGAGCACACTGTATATTGACAGTTATTTTTAAAACATCGCTTTCATTACTGCCTACAAATTTTATCTGAGACATGTTTTTATCCCGAATAGGAAAGCAGCATAATCTATCGAAAATTTACACTGATTTTACTAAATCCAAATATGAACGAATGTATTTGCTGAAACTTTGTAAGGGCTGTTCGTTTTTCGGTAATATTATCACATTACAAATAGAAAAAGACTAAGTTTCAATGTGTTGCGACACTGTATAAAAATATTTCATTAAAACAAACAAAATGAATGAAAAATATATACCATTGTACTCACCACAGACGACCCGGTCAAAGGGACTCATCCAGTCTAAAACAAAAAAGGGGTTATCGCAAAAGAAAACAGGAAATGGTTCAAGTTACAGTAAATAATAATAAAAATAAAATAACACAATTTCAAATAATGTTACGAATGAACTGATAGGACTGTTATTGAACTTAATTAATAACCAATTCATTGGTAGTAAAGGTTATGCTAAATTTTCCATATTGAATATCTACGTTTATAGTTATATTTCCTTCACAAAATTGAATGAATTATTATTGATATGTGCGAGGGATTGATAGTGTGAGTTGACGAAACATCTATTTGGGGAACACTCAACAGTTTTTGGGTTTCCAAAGCAATTTACAAAGGTTCAATTTGGAGTCTGACACACGATGATTCCTTTTGGCTCCACAGCTCATTTTTTTTTCGTCCAGTGTCCTTTGTCTCTCTCTCCTCCATATAGACCGAACAGCAAATTTCCAACTCGTATTCATCAGTTCAGATGATGAATACTTGAATGTTCAAAACATCAATTTGCATCCACCGTTCCACCCAGATTTGACACCTTTGGATTTTTTTTGTGAATGATGAATGTTGTGAAAATTTCAAGACATTTCAAATAGGAAAAGTTCATGGGAATTCATTATTGAAGATACATTTTAAAAAACAAGAGCAAGTGGTTTTTTTTCTTTCCGGATACATCCACAAAGAATAAACTCCGTACCATCAGCTTGGATTTGTCGTTCAAATTGTGTGCCCCTATAAAAATACTTTCAGTTACTAATCCGGTTTCAATTGATAATGAGGTTGAATAACAAGTTCTATAATCATTTATTGGACACGTTTATCACGATTAATCAATTCGACTTAACTGTCGTCTGTCCCAATTAACTGGAGATATACAATTATCGAACAAGATGGAATCTCTCAAGTCAATTATATTAAAAAAAATAGAAAAGGAAGTGAAAAAAAAAACTTCTTGCTCGACTGGGAAACTAGGTACATGACTTGATTTGGCTTCTTTTTTCAATTTTGAATGAAATATTAGGTACCGCTGAAATAAACGTAACAAGTTAATAATCGTAATTTTAGATTAATCGAATTACGGTACCGTTTTTGGTAGCCTAAACATATTTTTCAATATCTCAAAAAGTTTTCTTATATGATCCGATGCGACGGATAAAAATATCTGAGATCAATCAATGAACAAAAAACAAAAAGCATTTTAATTATTTGTAATGCATAAACGTGAGTAAATAATTCAAACTCTTCATATTTTTATTTTAATTGTAGTAAAAGTATGCCAATATCACCCAACCTCGTATAAAAAAGGCTAGTTGTCATTCAACAATTCTATAAAAATTAAAATTGATGATTTTTCTACCGTTCAGAAGGTCCAGGAAATGAATGACAATTTCAGTTGTCTTATAAAAAACAACCTGACAAAACAGTTTCATGTTGTATTGAAAAGTATTAAGCTGCGCATGCCCATTGGGGTTTTAGATCCAAACATATTAAAGCTAATAGGCAAAGTTGTGCCAATCCAATATTTTTCTTTTTTTTTATTTCTCTGAAAATACTATTAGTATTTCAGATTCATATAGATGATGCATTATTCACGTCAAGCTGAAATGAAAAAATTTCTCTATAAAACTCGATCAAAATATAAGTATATAGAATATAAATCTTGTAACTTCCCATATTTTTTATTATTTTTACAAACTTCTAAAAATTACACGTGTTTTTTGAAACTATTAGAAACAAATTCTCCGTTATCTCAAATGTTTTGAAACAAATTCGTCTCTAGAACGTTAAAACATAAGTTTGTTGTAATTTAATTTTTCCTGGAACCACTGCATACATTTACTTCCAGTATGAATAATCCGAAATTGTATAGGGACAGTCACGTATGTATTCACGTTGAGTAATAATTTACTTTATGTGTTTATACGCATGTTTGAACAGAAATTTCCTAGAAAATAGAGGTAAGAAGATACCTACACCGACAACATTCTGAACAACAGAAACGTATTATTACAGAACTTGAAAATACAACTGCTTGTTTTATTAGTGCTTTACTAATTCCGGGATCTGATTTGGGAAAGCGCCAAACACGAAAGATTCATTTGCTTATTTGTCGAGACCATTTCAAAGGAGAACTCACAGAACTTTGATTGGAACACTAATAGTGATAGATAATAGTGACTAGTCATTTGGAATTATGAGGAGTTAACAGAATTGATTTTTTGTCTTGGAAACTCCAAATCGAGGATTCGAATAGGTTGCGAAAATTATATGAAACATCTTTGCAATGTTGAAGGTAAAAACATTTACTGCTTGTGTTGTAGATGAAAAATAAATCTTTGTATTCCTTTGGAAGACAACTAATTCGGTACAGGATATTTTAGCCTAGCTTATAATTCACGGTTGAAGTTTCGACAATACCTACTGATGAGATAACTTTTGAAATGGTTTCAGTTCATGACCGTTCAAATGAAATCACTTCATTTACTCCACTTTATATTTCTTGAATGTCTCATTCTGTACCAATCAATTTCCCCTAAATCCCGCGTTGTTATCTCCGGTGATATATATTCATACATATATAAGTTATCCTCCATTCACAACTTCAATCAATATTATTTTTGATTTCCTTAATTCCATATACTCAAAGCTTTGTGCCAGTATTGGTTATACTATGAGCTCTTATTCCAATTTGTTCCAACCAAATGAAATAAATTCATCATTCACCACATCAAAAATAAAACAATCTTATTGAAGATTGCACTTTAACAACCGCCTTTATTGTTATGACCCACTAAATAGCCATTAAACGAATGTTTATGACTGTATTTGGAATGATAAAACTAGTGACACAGAAACTAGAAGGAACCCTCGCTTGCCGACGGAAGCACTAGGAAGGTGTCCTTTTTAGGAACCATAAAACTGTTTTATTGCTGGTACAAGTTAATTGTTGAGTGTGTCGGAAAAACGCCATTCATCGATTATTCAATCGTAAAAATGGTGAATTTGTAAAAACGACGCATTCGAATAAGCTAGACGATTAGTTACTTGGCATGCAAACAGTGTCCATGATACATTTGCTCTGTGGCGACAAAATTTCGAAGGGATCAACAACAGTCCTATCTTTAATAACTATATCTATTGTAAATCTGTGCAGTAGCTACATAGCTATTGTAATTTATGAAGGAAAAATTAATATAGGTATGCTATTTGAACCAAAGCACAATTTGATTGATGATTACAGAAAGCTGATCAAAGAGATTGAAAATACTGAGGCACATGATCATGTCATGCTTAAAAAATTTAGTGGCGCATGCGCCATGAACATTTATTTATCAAAATGAGTCACAGAGAGTCACTCAATAATTTGCATCTAGAATAACAAACAATAGTTAATGACAATTACTGCTTCTTATCTAAACAATAACAAGACCATAAACATATAATGAATTGTTGTTAATGGGCAATAAACAACTACTCAACGTCGATCTGATATGTAATGGCCCACAAAAATACTAATTAATGATTGAAGAGCGTATCTCACCTGTGATCGACATCCAGGGATATCTGGGAATATCTGGAATTGGTTGTCCGCCGGGAGCAGTATTCTGTGAGCAGGAATTCAACGGATCCACGACAGCACTGGCTGCCTGATGGTAAAATTGCGCCGCCGCCGCCATGGAAGCCGACGCGGCACTCACCGAGCTTGCAGCCGCCGAAACGGCTGCCCCATTCTGGTGATGGTGCCCCAAAGTGTAATTGACCATGGAGTCGGAAGGAGCCACGTTTCCGGTGAGGCCCGCTGTGTATCTGCAGGACTTGTCGGCGGCGGCGTCTACTGCTGCGGCGGCGGCTAAGGCTGCAGTGCTGGCGCTCGACGGAAATCCTCCGGCAACCATGCCCCCTGAAGCGGCGGCGGCTCCGAAAGCTGCCGCAGCTACGGCTTGCTGCTGATGATGGTGATGGGCTGCTGCGGTTGCCGCAGATACGTAGGGGTACATCCTGGAGGCGGGCGACGTGGAGGACGCGCTGCTGCTCGAGTGCTGAGGAGAAGATCCACTGGGGGAGCCGGAGGAGCTGTAGTTGACGACGGATGCGAGGCTGGCTTCGATCGAGGCTGTGCTGACGGGACTTGGAAACAATTGTTGATGGTGGAATTGCTGGTGGTACTTGGGTAGCATGCTATCGAAGATCAATTTGGAACTCATTGCTGGTCCCCGTCACTTAACCGTCGCGCACTCTTTACCATAGTCCAATTGCACCGCACAAGGTTTACGATTACTGCCACCGGCCACTTTCGGTAATGTTGCGGAGTATTTCTTACGCGTCCTTCTCCTCTACTTCTTCGAATCCTTTATGACCCATGTATGTTCAGTCTATAGCCCTCTATGCCTCATTCACGGTACTAGAGAGTAATGGCGCCCCACCACCGACATGCCAATCCGGAGCAGGTGCTGCTCGGGCCAATGGGGAAAGGAGTTCGGCACGCGGCGCTCGATACATGCCGGCCCTCGACCACGGCACTCTCGGATAGACACGCAAGTCGACGGCCCATACCGCCGGTGTTGCCAGCAAGGGGCAAAATACGCGAAATCTGCGTCTTTTCAGTAGGTATCTTTGTTGATTTTTGCCAATTTTCTGCATTATTTACATTTTGCAGATAACCGGCTTCGCCCCAAAGTGCCTAGGGCCTAATACTAATCACTGTTTAATGTATTCTGCTCTTTCATGTTCTCTGTACCAATTACCGATCGATATATGCAATTTCACTTTTCACGAGAAAATAACCTCTCTATGAAAGTAACAGAGACAAAAAAAAGAACAAAACATCATTTAATCCAACTGATTTTTTGCTGTTTTGGGATTGGGTATCTGTGGTCTGCAAGTTTTTGGGCCACGGCTGATAAACCTGAAATCACACCCCTTGATCATTTGATTTACATTTGGAGCGATAAAAATGCAGTTGAGCCTTCAACAATAAAGACGATAAACACCAAATTTTCATTGCATTTTTTTTCTACAAGCTCAAAACGAAGACTAAACAGTTAGCGATTACGTAAAGTCAGTGACAGCTTTTTCTTGGATGACAGCTTGTACCCAGTACTTTGAAGAGAGATAGCTCAACATACATGAGTCGCAATATTCCTGATTTTCAAACCGTTCAGCAGTTTTCATTGTTTACATGTTGTATATTGATAAGTTTTCACGGTTGCAATTTTTTGATACTAGACAAATAGTTGTTTTCACAACCCATGAGCTCAAATTTCAGAGTAAGTAACTTTTAAATGGTAAATTGGGTCTGATTGTCCGATACTGGAGTTGAAAACGGGGGCATTTCACTATCAGTATACCTATTTCAAAAATGAAAGCAATTTTTCATTAAAAGGTTAGGTTCAAAACATTTCATTTTCATTAGTATGTGCTATTTTATGAACTCATATCTGATGCATAAATTGATGACGCATACCTACGCATTCTTTTGTCGTACCCAACAGTAATTGTTTATTTTTGTAACTTCGAACAGTACTCATTTCGAAAGATTTTCTGCTAGAGGGCGTTTCCAAGATCATGATTCAACTACGGGCTCACTATTCCATCAATAAATACTTCGCGCTAGTCGACTAGATTTTGCGAATTTTTTAATGTCAACCCCGCACAAAACCACATCATTCTGTTGGCAACACTGGCCACGACACTAGAATAGACACGCATTTCGACATCCCATTCTACTTTGGGATCGAGAGCTCGTCATTAAGGGATCATTTCGATTATTTTGTCGATAAAATGCATGTCGTACCACTCGAAATTGAGTGTAGTCCGTATGCAGACGAAATTTCAGTTATCAAAATGGAAAATTGAGCTGCAAAATTGGCCACGACGACACGACAGTGCCATCTGTGCTGGGAAGGATCAAGTTTTGAATCTTCTCAGAATTGGAAGACCGTGGCCGACATCGGCGCACCGTACATATTTTTGAAAAAGGTTCTAGGTGATTTTTATCAATATAAAAATATTCAGAGATTCATCAAACTCTTTGCAATGAGAATTTTCAAATATTCATAATTTTTTTTTAAGTTCGAAGAAATAATTATTGTAACCACAAAACATTCAAAATTGAACAAATAATTCTCACCTCTGTGAAATTCTCACCTCTGTGATCTCTTACAACTGTTTTTTTTATTGGTTGTAGTTTTTGGTGTAGACAGTTTTAACCTTGTTTACTCAAGAACTTTTTCGATTATTCTGAATTTTCTCGAACAATATCTACGAATCATATCCAGAACAGCCAAATTTATGAATTAGTTAAATTACTCGCCCAATTCACTTACAAATGAAACATATTCACAGAAATCCAAGAGGTAGAAGAGCAATTGAACATGCGACACTAGTCATTAAGTATACGCTCATCATTCATAAAATGGAAACGTTTACAAATTTTTACTGCTATCGGAGATATATAGGTAATTTGAAACTACACGAATACTTTGAATTCATTCTGAATTTCCCCGTATATTTGAATGATAATTCATGTATTGAACCTCCCTTGTTTAGATTGAAAAAGCAACACGTTCGTAAACACAGTTGGATTCAGTTTTATTTAAGGCCGTCTTCATTCAAATTCAAGAGACTCATGATGACACGATTATTCCAGATACATATCAATAAAAGGAACATCGAGGATTACTTATAAATATAGAGAAATCCCATAATATTTTAAAATTTTTGTTTTAAAAATTGTAATGTGAAGTTGCATAGTTGCATTTCTGCATTACAATAGTGAATGATAATAATAACAACATTGAAAATTTATTTGCGGCAAATTTCCAAACGATTACATAAGTATATAAATAGGATCCACTCGTAGATGACACCTTTTTAACAAGAAATCACTCAATAACTTATGATTACCTATTTCTAACCACAAAATGGAATAAATGACACATTTTCATTTCATCTGTCTTCATGCACGATTTTTCACTTTTGAAATGACGAACAGTTCAAACAGTTTAACGTAAAACAATGTTGATGTGTTCAGGGAAACGTGTCAATAAATGGGATATTCTAAATCATTGTTCTATCCAGAAAGGAGTCAATATATTTCGTAGAATCAGAAATGGTATTTTTTCGGGACCAAGATAGGTAAGTTCAAACTAAGTGGGTATAGTCAATCCTCCACTGCAACCCGGAAGGGTTTATTGTGGCTCACAACTATTTAAACTCGGTCAGATGAATCCAGCTTCCTAATGAAGAGCTCATTAGGTTAGAATACTTTCAGGTAAATGGCAAGAGTGAAACTCTGACAAATTGTGAAAACATGAGGCGTCAAGCATTGTCTTCGGACAGTGCAATTCTCTAAAACTGACGATTCAGGCGACAGTAGCTTGTTAGACTACGACGAATTATGACGTTGGCCTCAGAATGGGCCAATCAATCAGTGTTTGTTTGACAGAGTCCTAAACTTTGCAAATGACAGATTCTGGTCCGATGAAACATCTTGCAGCATGCTCGTTTGAAAGGGAGTTAGCACCTTCGTTACCTTTCAGAGATAACTTCTTGAGTTTTTCTATCATGGAAAGTAGTTTTTGGCATCAACTGTCCGATGGTTTTTTGTGTTTCCGGTATACTAAGGGAATTATCATTTCTGGTAGAGGTTGGTTGTTTCTGGTTATCTTCTGATATGAAAGCATTGCACAATTACCTAACAAATGTTTTTGGGAGACGGAACGTCAAAATATTTTGTAAGCATCTCAATTTATGAATTTTTCGCCTCAGTTTTTTCATAAAGTAATCTGTGTACTAATTAAATTACAGATTTTTTCATAAAGTAATCTATGTATCTACTAATCAAATTACAGATAGTCAATGACAATTCCCAGCCATTTTATAGTGGTCACTGAGAAATTCTTACAGTAAATTCAACCTCAATAACTTTATATTTTGAAAAAGTAGCGGATAGTATTTAAATTATTCAATAAAAATGCGACAGACGTAGTAAATGTTGAACGTTTGTTTTTAACGAAAGGTATAGAATATGGATCGAATGGATTTAGCAGAAAATTGTGTGCTTCAAGAACTAATTTTGAAGGAAATTTCAAGTATTTCACTCTCATAACTTATTACCTATATACTTTTTCTCTAATGAGAAATAATTTTTTCATACACAATTCTGATATTCAAGATTCGAACGGTATAATCATATGACAAAATCATACTGAAATCCATTTTTATAGTGTGATTAGAATTGAAACTGAAACAAAGAGAAACTGAAACAGAAATAATGATATTTATGAATGAATCTAATAACTTATTCTCCTTTTCAGTAATAGATTATGTTAGTACCACCGTCCAAATTATGAAAATGGACAGACTACAATGTGATGTCAACTATGAACAGCAATAAAACGTTACCTACTACAAAGTTCCTTTCAAAGTAATTTGAATCATTTTGATAAGCAAATCCTAGAAATCTCGTGACGTAAACTTGACTTCTTAAATTTTTTATAAAATCTCTTGTGTTAGTTATCACGTGACAATTTTACTTATCATACGAATTTGTGTAAGTCGTCCACTCAAGATGTTATATTACTTACTGAAAAACATAAACATTGTTTTCAAATACTAATACAGATTCGATTCGAAAATCCTATGTACTGAACTACTCGTATTCTAACTAGTTCTTACCTGTCCCTTGTTTGCACTTGCATAATACATCATAGATTGTCAACGTTGAATCTGATACGTTAACGTATTATACTCCACGACCTATAAATTCCTAAAATCCAAATTACCTAGGAAAACATAAACTATTTTGTATAATATATAGCATTATATTATTTTATTTCTAACGTAAGAAGAATTTGATGAATAGAAAAATTGCTGAACAAACTTAAGCACATGTCAAGATTATATTGGATGAAAACTGAACAATGACTTTTACGTGAAATTCAAATTCATACTGAGCTGAAAAGAGAATCGGCACTAACAGCAGGCCATGAGATACAAGAGTAACTATTGAATATATGAAAAATTATGAGTACCTAGGTAGTACCACGAAAAATTGGCCATATGGAAAAGTCCATAATTCATTCATTTGTATTTCCGGAATTAATGTGAAAAAATTACTCACCAATCCGTAGTTGAATTGTTACCTGAAAACAATAAAAAAACTGTTAATTTGTTGTTTATATAAATCTATACATAAGAATGTGGGCAATTTATTAAAATTATATTTCCGATGCGTTTCCCAAGTTTTATTCTGAACAAACTAATATTGAAAAACCATCATTAGTCAATATAATTTCCATTCTATCCGGAATAACTCAAACGAACAACCGCAGTTTTTATGAACGACGAAAACACTGCCGGTTTTAGTATGAAGTGACAGCAGATTATTGACAGTCATAAAATTTAACTACCAGTTTATGGTACAATAAAATACATTGCTACTATATTTCACACAAATCTAGCGTGGTTGTAAATCTTCCTCTCTTTTGAACCGCAAGAAGAGAAACATCCCACTCAAGTGTGTGTGCACTACACTGCCATGTCGTTAAAATAAAGAATTCAGAGGAATTCAGCAAGTATTTTACAGGGGCGATCGGAAGTTTGATATCGTTTCTCACCAAATTACTGAGATTAAAGGCGTTTCCTATTGGTAAAACTTGTGGACATTCAGTGTATCTCTGTCCTTTATTCCTAATATATTTCTCATAGATCTGCGATATTTTTTTTGCTCTCTTTGGTGATACCATAATCAAAAGTATTGATTGCCTGTGTCCTGTCATTGATTTCAGTTATATTCCCTAACGTCAAAATGTCTTCTTCGAAAATAATTCTTGAACAAATATATCCCCGTTAAACTCTTCAATCAATTTGTGACCTTATCGTTGAAATATTATCTTTGGATAACGGCATTTATTTTAGAGAAATAATATCCTTATTTTCATTGTCTTCTTTCAGTTAGCTGACTAATGAATTCAGATCACTGATTTATCCTTCATAAAGTGATGAATATAAAATAAACATTGAAAAGCGAAATCACCTCCTTTTTGTATTGTCTATTCACCAGCAACATGATTGAATCCAAATGAGATATAGCTGTTCAAGATTCAATATGAAAAATGATCCACCAAAACTTGAGACTTTCAGATCCGCCCAAAAGGAAAGTTGAAGCGTGTCAAACTTCCAATGAAAGAAAGAAAGACGCTTGAATACAAATCAGGTCTTTGGAAATTGTAAGTGTTGAAAAATTTATATTTATTTATGTATTTATTTATTTCATACACTATTCTA